CCACGGAGCAGCAGGGAGCCGGATCCTCGGAAATGCCGCAGACGGCGCCGGCTCCGCGTGCGCGGCCAGAACAGGTTCTGCGAGTTCCCAGGGAAATGTCGTTTTTTAAAAAAAAATCCCGTAGAAAACATTTTCCCAAGAGGAAAGGGGAGAAACAGGAGCATCTCCGAGCTCCGCGATCCGGCAGGGAGCTGCTCCATCCACCAGATCCACCGGGGATGGACCCGGCTGTGGAGAAGTGGCCCCGTTGGTGCCATTTGCTTGTCTTGGTGCCCGCATCGAGGCCACCCTTGTGTCCCCACGACCGCGCGGGGCCGTCGTGCTCCTGGATAACATCCTCATCCCGGCCCGGCTCGGAGGAGCTGCACGAAGAGCAGCAACCGCCTCCTGCGCGCGTGGGATACGGAGAGACCGGAGGGAGCGCCTGGAAAACCGACGAGCCCGGGATGTCCCCGCGTGTCCCCGGGTTCCGTGGCTGCTCCGAGGGCTCTTGGGAACACGAACGGGCAGCAGTTGCTTCCGCCTCATCCCAGAGCTCAGACGTGCCCTGATGGCGGCTTCATCCCAGCGGGATCCGGCAGCTCCCGAGGCCCCCGGCTGGGGCGGCATCGGAAGCTGCTTTTCCGCCTGTTTCCCGGCTGTCCCACGTGCCGCGCTTCCCGTGCGAGGAGGGCTCTGCAGGATGACCTTTCCCACTGGAAAACAAAACCGGAGGCCCCTTTCCCTGGCCGGAGCTTGTCCGTGAGTGCCCTGTGTTGCTCCGGATGATTCGGATTCGGAGAGGGTTCGAGCTGCTGTTTCCCACCCGCATTTTCTTTCCCTTGCTGCTCCCGTTGCTCCGTTCAGCTGGGAGCAGAAGGAGTCTCCGGAGCAGCCGTCCTTGTCCCTGTATCAACATGTCTATCGGCTCCTCTGATTCTTTTCTGTTATCTTCTTGTTTCCAACCCAGAAGAGCAAAATCTTCCATTTTTTTCTCCCAATCCCGGGGGAAGTCGCCCGCAGGCAGCTCGGGGCCGTGTCCGATGCCGGGATCGCGGCCGCGCGGTGACAGCGGCGCCCGGGCACGGCGCGGGTGGCACCAACAACAGGTCATTCCTGAAGGAGCAGTTGGGCTCCGAGCGCTGTTCCTGTAAACCCGGGTGGGAGCTTCGGAGCCGAGGAATTCCGCTGATTCCTGCGAGACTCCCCCGGCACCGGCTGTTTCATTAACATGAACCAGGGCCAGCGTCCTCCCCGCTCCATCCATGGCCATTAATGTGCTCCCAAAGCGGAGAGCTGTCGTCTGGAGAGACAGGATGGCTCCCGCCTCCGTATCCATTACTTTAACTTGGCCTTTTATTTATTTATTTGGGATCGCTTTCACGGGCTCCGCTAGTAGCAAGCGCCCTGTTTCTGGAAGGGAAAGACGGAAAACGGAGCTTGGCAGCTCCAGCTCCCAGTAAACCCTGCCCTGTTCACCCCCTGCTCGTTTTTCGGTGTTAAAGGGAAAGTATTATCCGTGTTTACGGCTGGGGAATGTGGGACGCAGGAAGGATACGTGACGCACTGGGGGCCGGGGAGGAATCGTCCTCCTCTCGCTCTGCGTGGCAACGGCTGCCTCTGGCATGGGGCTTTCTGTCCAAGATTATCCATTTATCCAACGATCCTTTGGAACGGGCTGGCTGGGGGGAGCTCTGGACAGTGTGAGGAGCAGGACGGTGCCCGGGGGGTTGGCAGGGGAAATCCGTCCTCCCGCTTCCCCCTGCCAATCCTTCCCTCCTGGGAAAGAGCAAAATGAGGATGAGATCAGGCAGCAAAAAGCTGAGTCATTCCCGTAGTCCGTGGTCGTGTCCCGGCTCTCCCGCGTTCCTACGGAACCGTTTGCCAGGGCTGGGAGCGCTGGGCTGCGGCAGCCGGGACGCGAGGCCTCTTGCTGCTGCTGGTGGTTGGTGCCGACCGGGAGCGGGTGACACGGGGGGGGCGGGGGGC